TTTCGATTCTGAGCATTTTGATGCCTTTTAATTGTGCTGAGGCAGCCTTTTCCCACGGGGTGGAAGTCCGTCTAGATTTGTAAACTTTGGTCGCCAATGTTATTCGACCTGAGATGCTCTGAGTCTTTACTTTATTTGCAAATAAAAGAGGAGACAATAAGAGGTATTTTGCACCAAGTTTGATCTGTTTTGGTCTACGTTTGCAGCATTTCCTAATTTAAGAGGTCACCGGAAAAAGGGATTATAGCAACCCAACGGACCTGCTTTTTCTATAACCTTAGGATTTGTGCTTATCTGACCTTAGATTAAGTACAACAATTATACCAGTTTGCAGCTCTTCGCAAGATGGTCGTATTGAACTCGGTTTCGTAATGATCAGATGTGTAAATCTTGAGTTGTGCTTCACGAGGTTCGATATGTTTTCTTTTTGAAACCCTAAATTTCCTGGTTTCATGCTCATCTTCTTTTCAAAAAAAGTTTGACTCTGAGTCGCGCCATGATGCATGCCCTAGGTCAAAATGATGGGGTCGTCGTGATCTAGAACATGCCCAAGTTTGAGCTTTTTCTAATTCTAGGTGAAGGTTTTGTGGCTCCTTGAAGTCCATCTCGAGATGTGAAGTCACAGTCTCCATGCTTGGGGACTGGTTCAGTGAAGTCGTAGCGTGATAGTGTAGAACCTACTCATTTTGAGGAAATTTAGACGTAGGACTCTTTTGGTTGGTTTGATTGAGCCCAAATTTGATCCTAGGGGTTTTTTTATGTTCTAAATGCAACGACAGTGGTCTAGCACTGTTTTGAAGCCGTTAGCACAGGGCTACAATTGTAAGGTCTTTTCTTGGTATGATAGTATTCTTCTTAGGTTGTCCAGTTTGATGTTTATTTCGCTGTACAACTTTGGTATATCAGTGTCTTGAGTACCAGCAGGACCGAGTTGTCACTGGCTATCTCCTTATTCGTGTGAGAGATATAAGTATGTCAAAAATGGCGTACAACAATAGGTGCTAACAAATTTGAAAGAGCCATTTTTTAATACCCTGTAGTTTTTGTACCTCCATGTGCTTGAGTATGAAACTATTTACGGTTGTGATACACATGGAGATGTGGTTTAATCAAGGACTATGAGCCTAAGTATGAAACATGAGAGATGTGTATGTCTCATTCAAATATGTAAGCACGAAGGGAGTGTTTCGACGAAACCCGAGCTTAGTAACCATTCTGCCAATAATGTCCAGTAATATGATGTGTTGCATGTGATGACGATCTCATGATAAAGTCTCCATATTTTCCAATAAGTAGTGTTTTTGTCGGGTTTTGATAACCATTCTTTAGTCATGCTTTATTTTGGATAAAATTATGAGATGGACTTTATGATTTGTTTTGTGACTATAAACATGACTTGGTAAGTAATTAATGGTGAATGTCGTAAAAATGATTTATGAATACTAAGCATGTATTTTTAAAATTAAATTGGATCATTTGTGAAAAACCTAAGGTCTATGTATATGGCTTTAAGAAAAACCCATATTCTTGCGAGATCCACTAAGTATTTAGGAAAAATAGTTTTAAAGACCACTATGTTATTTTCTAACTATTTGTGGAAGTATATCAAGTCAAGAGTTTTTGATATAAGGAAAAACATTGGGTATTGAAAGTATTTTTGCACATGTGAAAAGGTGTCATTAATCTATGCACTGTTTTTAAACACCCACATGTCTTGACTCATATTTTCATAGTACCGACTATGTGACTTGGTTTTGAATTCGTTAGAATCCTCGATTACATAAGACCATGAACCATAGGGCATGGCCATCTTGCTAGGTCTCCTTGACACGTGTTGTATATATTAGACAACTTTGTTTCTATGTGTTTACAACCAAGAGACTAGTTTGGTTCGAAAAGTGGTTTTACGAAACTAAACGGGCAATGAGTTATTGTTTACTATGAGGCTTACTATACTATCTCATGACACAAGCATGAGAATGCTGAGATAATATTTCTTATGTGTTATGTTTGAGTGGGAGCTATTAACAATCCCATGATTATTTTTAATTGCTGGATATTTAGTTATATAGGTATCATGTTATGAAAAGATCCAATAAACCCAATATTCCAGTGAGAGTACTACCTTGTGTTTGATGGGTCAACTCGAACAACATATCGGTGTTCACCCGTAGAACTCGGATGTGTGGCGCTAGTTGTATGGCTACAAAAGGGAACAACTTGATTAAAGAATTACTTTAAGCCAATGAAGATACGACCCCATGCGATGAGGGTATGTGATATCTTCTGCGAAAATAGGTCCATGATTCGCGATGCAGCATAAAAGATAGACTACAACCACTTTTAGAATGAGATCCAAGTAGCAAAGAGAAATAGGCACTACTTCCATAAATCCTTTGTGAAAGGATTGATGACAAAAACCATGATTTATGTAATGAGAGATAATAAGTGAAAATTGCTTGAAAGAGAGATTATAATTGGGGGGATGAAAATATGAGAAGGAGAGATTGTAAGGCCTCCAAAGGTCAAGTGGGAGATGTTGGGTTTATGTGGCCTTTAAAGGTCTTATGAGAGCTTGTATGAGCATTTTATATAGTGAAACATAAACTCAATGGGACTGTGGTCCTCTTGTGGACCATACTAGGCAAATGTGATTTAATGATATTCAGACTAGGCTTGATGTAGTAGGTTAGTTGAGTTTCGAAAAACCCAAGATATCTAAGCATAGGGATCTACAGAAGAAGGTTTAATTAGCTAACTCTTGATGATGCCGGAGTATACCTAGATGAGAGTCGAGGGACTGTGTAGCCCTTGCATGTGATGAATAGCCTTTAGAGACAAGGTTAAAACATCATCGTTATATCATCACACGATATGTACATACATAACAGTTTTGATATTCACTAATGAGGGTGAAGGGTGTACATATGTGAAGGATTACACCTATGCACCATAGAGTCATGGTCTCATTATGGTTTGGAGGACCGTGATTTTTTTTTCTCTAGGGGAGAACCTGAAATCTATAAACTTAGATTACATCCCCCAATCTATTGGCTGAATTTGGTGGTCCAATCATGAACCCCTATAGTGGACTGTGGGTCATGGGAACTGTTGGGTCAATTTAAGAAAGCTAGATGGATCGTAACCCACAGTTGAAGGTAGAGTGCTCCCGTATCTTGATAAATTCTTAGATCTAACAGATCTAATTCCCATCAAAATTAATTAGTTTTAATTAATTTTATGATATATGATTTTTAGAATGTTTATTTGAATTTTTGTGAATCTTCTAATATTTTATTTTTGTCATTTAGATTTATAAATTAAAAGAAAATTTACAATGTTTTAAATAAAATATGAGATTTAAAAATTTTAAATACAAAATAAAATATTTTCTAAAATTATATGGGACCCTCCATAAATATGAGTTTCCAATTTAGAACATGTGACTAACTTGTGCATAATTTAGAACATGTGACTAACTTGTTATCCAAGATTGGGTGATAGTTATCCCCTTGTTTGTTGGTTTATTTTTGGGAATAGCATAATTAGTTTGAATATTATAAATATTTAGTAAATCTTTGATGAATATTTGAAATATTTAGTTAATTTTTTAACTTGATCTATGAAATAAGGATTGGATATACTAAAATAGAAAGTAAGATATATACTTTCTTTATTTAAAGATTTGATGTGAATAGATCTAAAAAATGCAGGATAAGACTCTAGTTCATCTTTTTGAATCAAATCTCTCATCCCCCAAGTCTCATTAGATCGACGATCAATATTTGACTATAAAGAAGATCACACACCTCATAAATTTTTGACGCATATTCTCTCCTCTCTCTAAGCGTTCACCTCTCTCTCAAGATATCTCAATAAGTGGCACGCCCCACCTAGGGTTTCAAGATCTCTCCCAAGTTTTTTTTAAGGGGCACACCCCAATCAAAATCTCTCTCAAGTCATCTCTTAAGCCAAGGGGACTTGCTCAAGTCATCTCTCTCGTTTCTCTCAAGCCAAGGGGCACACTCAAGTCATTTCTCGTGTTTCTCTCAAGCCAAGGGGGCACGCTCAAGTCATCTCTCTCGTTTCTAGGTAGCATGCCGAAGCTAAGGTTAACTTGGTGGTTTGATTTTTGGGTAGCAAAAAGATGATCCCTTGTTAGTAGATCTCTCCTTCTGTTTGAGCAAGCGGCTTGATTTTTGAGTAGCAAATGGATGATCCCTTGTTAGTAGATCTCTCCCTCTGCTTGAGCAAGCGTAAGGCATTGACACCTTAGATAGTTAGTTTTAGATCGAGATCAATATATAAGAGAATCAAGAGACCGATCATACATCCCGAGCACCATAGGAAAGAGGAGACTCAGTGTGAGGTGTACTAAGTCCGGTTGAGGTAATCTTCGACAATTTTACTTTTTAAAATATTTATTTGTGATTTGATATTCTCTTCCCATAAAACAATGAGTCAAGGAATTGTATTAAATAGTGATAGAAACCGTGTTTCTTTTCTTTTTTATTTATTTGTTTCTAGAGTTATTTGTTTGTAATTGGATATTGTGAGTGGTCTTGTTGGTGTAAAAATCAAAAAAATAATTCTTTTTTTAAATTTATCTATACCATGCTTGTTCATATAATCCAACTTTCAACAATGCCATGCGCCTAGACTGTGAACACTGCTTTGGGCCCCAAGGGTTCCATCAGCCCTAGATGATCGCTCTCATCACCCAAAGGCCGATGAGATAAGACATACGAAAGTATGACATATCAAAATATTTGGGAATGGGGTTTGGACACACGCCATAATGATCATAATGTGGTTTTTATTCCCATTGATACCACCCTACAACTTGAACAATGACTATAATGTGGTTTTCATTCCCATTTATACCACCCTGCCGACAACTTCAAAAAAAAAAACTTAATATGGGGACGCCTTCCCCCACCGAATTACCCAGAGGATAAAAAACAGAAGAACAAAAAGAAAAAGAAAAAACTAAAAACGCAACAAAGAACTTCTGGTTGCTGTAAACGTTTGCCTCAAAGCGACGTTAGCAGTAATGTAAATCTTGGGAGAAAACTGAGAGCGAGAGGGAAAGCGGATTTTTATGTGTAAAGTTCCACGGGAATGACATGATGAAAAATCTGTTTCCGTAAAAGGAAAGAACATTACCAGACAGATGCCTCATATAAAACGTCCACGTTCGTATGAAAGAGTTCCAGGCGTTAGATTCCTGCGCTGCTTCGTATTACTGCGCGCCTTTATTGATTTCGCATAACTCTGCTCCTCGTGTCTGAATAACGCATTCATCTCTCTCTGAAATTCCCAGAGCTTTTTAATGGCGAATTTTGTCTCTCTTGGCAGGCAGAGTTGCTGCTAAACCCGCGATATTGAGTTAGGTTCAGCAGTTATATTCGGTTCAGGAGAAATCGAGAAATAAAAGTAGGTGGGTGAGATCTGAAATGTTTGTGGGGCGATGTGGAACAGTACCATAGCCAATTTCAAGGAGAACCTCTCTCGAATTGCTCTCGATGTCCATGATGTGGCTGAGGAGCTGGAAGCACCACCCCACCTAGCAATGGCAGGTCCTCTTTTTCCAATTTGGGGGTAGGGGAAGATGCGTCGGTTTTGGATCGTGATCATCATCGACATAGAAAGATTTCTCATCGATTTCCTCAATCCCATTCTCATGCAAAATCTCCAGTGCCCAATGGGATCGATTCAAGTCACAAGGCTGAGGTAAATGATCTGATTAATTCATCCGCATATTTCTTCCTGCCCACTTGAATGAGAGATCTCTCGTTTTGCTTTTCCTTAATTTCATTATTGTTTTACAGAGAGAGAGGGGTTTTGCTTTTCCTTAATTTGGTTATTCCATTTTCACAGAGAGAAGGTTTGCTTTCCCTTAATTTCGTTATGGTTCAGGAGTGAGGGGGGAGCTCTGAATCCTGTTGAATTTAAGCTACAATGCACTATGTGTGGTCTCTTAAGATCCATTATTTGTACCATTTACATGCACTTCGTGATTGAGTAAACTGAAAATTTTTGTGGTTTGAGTTTTTGTTAGTTGAATTTTACTAAGACAATTTACAGTTCTCTGTTTGTTTGAATAGTTTTTATGCATTTTTATCTATGATGGAGAAGGCTCTCTCTCTTCCTCTTTTTCTTTTTGGGTAGATAAGTAGGGAACTGGTCCCTTAACCGTAGTAGGAATGGAATTCAAGACATTGTGTTGTGACCCCGAGTATTGGCGTGCACCACCCTCACCACCTATGCCCTGAGACTATTCCTAATCTCTCTTTCGTCTTCTTAGCATATTTTGAATTACTTGGTGTGCTAAATTTGGGAAGTTATGATTTTGAAGAAGGTCATTCCTCTTAATTCTTTCTTTTGCTTGTAGCTCGAGTGGTACAAAGCTGAGTTAAGGAGGCTTCAGGGATCAGAAGCTGAACTTAAGGCGTTATCTGTAAATTATGCAGCTATTTTGAAGGAAAGAGAAGTACGGCCATGGTATTTTGTTCTGAATCATGATGTTGTCAACTTGTCATAGTCATTTAAATGTCCTAATACTGAATAAATTGGCTTCCAATTTTTCATTAAATTTGAAATGTTATCAATCTGTTATCTGTAAGTATTAGTACACTTGTGGGATCCCATCATAAGATGATATTTAACAGATAAAATGACAAGAACAGTTTCTAAGATTCACAGATAATAGCTAGATATACATCTCCTATGGAATCAGTACACTCAAAGTACTGTTCTGGTTTTATCTTTGCAATTCGGTAAAGTGTTCACAGCATATGTTGCAATATGTATGCAATTTTCGTCTTTTATATTTTGATTAATATGTTATTGCTTTATTCTGTGTGCTTCATAGCTTATCCTTTTTGATCGACCATACTCAAAACAATTTGTTACGGATCCCGATACTTGTCTTTTAGGAGTACGTAGTTTTATTTTGAAACTAGAGACATGGTTTGCGTTAAGTGATAGAAGATATTCATTACCTATGCACCTGATACTTTTATACGTTTATTGTACCAGTTTTGTCGCTAGACAATCATCAATACCAGAGATTTGGAATATAAAATGACATAAATATGAAACTCTCTCTTAACATAAAATCATCCATGATAATAAGTCTCTCTAAAATCATGATTTGCCGAAAGTAAGATATAAATAATTATATATCTTAAATTTTATGGCCAAAAAGTAAAATAAGATATAGCTAAAATGTAATAATGTTATATAAATAGCATCTTAGCCTAGTGTTTGGAGTCTTACATATTCATATTCTTGTTTGAGACTAATGCAGAGTTTGAAGTCCTATTTTCTTCCACTTGCCTCTAGTGTTCTTCAACATATCCAAGATGCCAAGGTTGATAGTGACTCCAATATTTATATTCCACGTCCCCTCTGGGGCACGTAATATTTGCCAAAAAAGAGATTGCGTTACTTATGGTCTGCAACTGCTTGCCAACTTCATAATTGCTTGCAACATTACTCCTTTGTGAATTGTGAGTACAATTAATTTACCATGCCCCAATTTCTTTAGCAGTTTTGAGGCCAAACCAGTAATATGTTTGCTTCTAATTCTTCAAGCTCCAATTCTGACTGTGTAGCTCCATTGCTTTCCTTATTATGCATCCTTGTTTGATTTCTCCTCACAAGGACATCGTTATCATTGGTCAGTTTAGCTAAACTACTTCAAAAATACAAAAGAAAGGGAAAAAAACAAAAAGGAAAAAAAGGTGGTCTAGGAATAAAGAGAAAAATTGTTCTGTTTGGCTCTAATATCATCTTAAGTTTGGAAGAGGATTGGGCTGCATTAAACTGATTATGGAAGCTCTTTTTCGGTGTTCGAAAACTCTGTGGACTCGGCTAGTGCCAGGTTCCAATTTACCTACTTGGGTACATGGGGAACTGTACATTACTCCCTCATTTTTTATCCAAATGCATTGAACTTATGTTCCATTTGCAACTTTATTCGAGCCTCTACAAGATCCCTATATTAATTTATTGGATCAAAGCCTAGAAATTGAGTGATTTGGCCTGGAAATTCTTGGTTTTTGGGGAAAAACGCAGCTTTCTTTGGTTAAACCTGACACCAGTATGACAATGCTTCGATTTCTCCCTCATTTTTTATCCATATCCTTTGAAATTTGGTTCTAATTGAACGTGAATCAACCTTCTACAAGAATCCCATATTAATTTGTTGGATCAAAGCCGAGAAATTGAGAGATTTGGCTAGAATATTCTCTTTTTGTGGGTGAAAAATGCTGGTTTTTGGTAAAACCCTCCAATCCACCAATGGCTTGATTTCTCTCTCATTTTTGATTCATATCTGTTGAAATTTGGTTCAACCTGAATGCTATTCAACCCTTTACCAGATTCCTATACTAATATGTTGGATCAAAAGCCTAGAATTTGTGATATTTGGCCAGAAAATTCTCAATTTTTGGGGAAAAAAGCAGTTTTTTGTTAAACCCTGCCCCAAATCGCCAATGCTTGGATTTCTCCCTCATTTTTTATCCAAATTCACTTTGAGTTCATGATTAAGGATTTTTTGATTTAATTGCATTTTTCTATTTTTTGGAATTTATTCCTTAGTTGTTGCCAGGTCCTTTTATTTCTAACTCATCCAATAACTGTTGCAGGTATTTCATTATTAGTCATTTTGTTTTATTACTGCAGGCATAAGTTTCTAGCATTTCAAGAAAGTTGGTTATTGTGATTGTTATTATTATTATTATTATTGTCTTTTTTAGATGCTCAATAATGTGCAGTGAGTGGATGAAAAACTGCACTTCATATATGAATTATGTGTGTTTTTGTTAGATATGGCTGGAGGGTATTACTAAAAGTGAACTTTTCACGTTTCTTAAGAAACTTCTTGAAGACTTCTGTCTACCTAGAAATTGTAATGCTATTTATGGTGCTTACAAAGATTTGAGGTCAAGCCTAATGAAGAGATGTAAGACATTCTATTGGACCCCTTGCACTATATATTTTGTAGTCTTAACATCAGAAGCTTGATCGATTGTTGTTCACACTAGCTGGTGCCATAATTATAAAAGTAAAAAAAACAAAAGGTAGGGACATGGCATATTTGGCATACCAGGTATGAGGAATCATGTTTGTTTGAATGCTGATGTGATGGATCCTATACGTAGGAATAGTTTTACAATGATTAGTTCTTTGATAGGTGATAGCAAGAAATGGTTATGTCAGATTACATCAGAGATGTGACTAGCTGGACATGACTGCAAAAGAGAGCAGAAGAAAAGAAAGAGATAAGCTACTCATTTAAAAAGAGAGCTCCTTCATACCCACACCTTGGAATTTTCTTGTTTCTGACTAAATCCTTTGTGTTACCCTGATTCTCCTTTTATTTGTGGAGTGGCCTTCACAGAGAGCCATGCTACATAATGATCTCATGTTGAGTGCAATGCTTCACTATTATAATCATTAAGTTTGCATGGTTAAGGAATGGCCCATATGTTCTTCTTGTCGAATGACTACTGCGCTTACCTATGGTTTCTATGAACTTATCATAAATTGATAGTGTTGGAGCATCTTCCCATGAAAGCTGAAAGAAATACTAGCATGTATTACTTTCCCTATAGCAGTTGGTTTACCAAGAGTCATCAATATGTAGTATGCATTAATTACGTATTATCAAGATTAATTGAATGAGGACAGGCCATGGCGTCATAACTTCCTGACAAGGACATACCATAATTACCTTCTTCCTTAAAATTATTTTAGTGGATTTGGCATGTGTCATTTTATCCATGATCTCGAGCTTCTGTTTCTTTATAATAGCTTGTTGCTTTTGATTCATGGATAATGCATTGTGAGCGTTTGCTTCTATAACCCTGTGAGTTCATTACCATATTGGTATGTATTGCCTTAATCTTAGTCCTTACTTTTTTGTACTTATCAACTAGGGTCTGTCTAGTACCTAGGTTACTGCCTTTGGGAAACATACCACCACCCCATCCTCTCTGAGCTTTGTGCTCCAAAGTTGCGGCACTTTGATATAAGCATCCATCTTGGGTTTTAGGCAGCCCTCGGAACTGTAACACCCTTTAGATGGTCTCTAATAGGCTGTTCAATCTGTTGCTTAATGACAACTAAAATCTGATTCATCCCTCTCCAAAAAAAAAGATAGAGATCAATGCACTAAGATATGATTTGCTTTCATGTTCTATGTTCTTTAGAAGATTTAGAGATATTAGGACCTGATACCACATTCTGTTTCACAATGTAGAATTGGACATTTGGTTGTTGCTTCCTTTCAATATGGTTTTTTTTTTAAATGTGACACACACACACACACCCAGATACACACATGTTTCTTGTTATGATTCATTTTGATAGAGTTTTTCCTTTTGTTTTTAATCATGTGTAGGTTTCTTGTTGTATTGAACATTTTTCAGTTTTGCCTTGTTGGCTTTTCTGACAGGAACACTTATCTGGTTTGCGTGAAGAAAATGAGGCATTAAGGAAAAATTTGGAGGCAAAAAAAGTTATTGAGTATGCATCTACTAGTGGAAATGTTAGAAAAAATTCAAGTAGCTCTGTCATATCAAAGGCAAGCAAAACTCTTAACTCAAGCTACTCCTAACCAGTTACGGTTGGTACAAGTAGACTATTATTACCTTATGGATGTAATATATATTATGGATGTAATTGTATCCGTATTTTTGTCCTGTATTTTGTAAAATACCATGCCGTTTTATCTCTCCTTGTATTTCTGCTCCAGACTAGTTTTCATATATGGACATCTTATTTCTAAAGGCATCTATGATAATGAGTTGGGACCTAGTATTTCTTGAATTTGAGAAGATCTTTGGAAGTCGCCTGAAATTGCAAATATTTTTTTTGGCAATTTGCGGCAAATTTGAATATGAGCAATCTACTGCTCCTTTCTGCCAGAATAACCTTGTTTCAGTTAGATCCTAGTTTGACTATTCTCAATTCTATGCACTTGGCTTCCCTGTTCAGTCGTATTTGTACATCATGTCTCAGTATCTTCCGGATGGGGTATTCACTATAATTATTCGTTTAGCAGCAATTCAATGCATATCTTTTTGATCCCATGACTTTAGTCATGTATTTTCATAATGAGATGTGGATACCCAATGCTAGTATCTCATGATCTCCATAATCCATCTGAACCAGTAATTGGCAAAAGTACATGTTTTGAAATGTTTCCATCCTGAATTTGAATTGTTTGTATACATTTATGTGAAGTAAGTGATATGTTCAATTCAATTGGGTGACGTTTTTGTCTTAGTTGCTTTGAGTTTCTGAGACTGTACATTGTATTATGCATTAAATCTGAATTGAGTTTCTTTTCAGATCACTCTTCTAGGGAATTAAGGATATTCACTTTGCTATAGATACATTTCCATTGGTTAATTGTTAATCCTTTAAGAAATGGTTTGGTTTCCACATGACTCTATTTTTCCTTTTTGGTAAGATATTATAACCTTGTGCATTGTGATATTTTTATGTAATTCTGTGCAGGGAGAGAGTGACAGTTTTTCAATTAAGCAGCACAAGCGTATGAGCCAAGTAAGTGGTCATTCTACAGCGAACCATTCATATGCTGTTAATATCCTAAAACAAGACATATCAACTGATGGGAAGGATGAAGCTATTGATCTTGACGCATTGGAGCAGAAGCTTAAGGAGCTACAGGGGAATAAAAAGGTTATTTTTCAAACTTCTTGTGATTAATGATTGGATTTCCTCCGTAGAAGGTCAGGCATCCAATAGCTAATCTGGCTGAAGTATGTTTCCTTCCATCGATATTTTTTAACCTGTATTAAAGTTCTCATATCATAGAAACCATCTTTGATCAACGAGTCACACATGTCATAGCTTGTCTGTTGGTCTTTGCTTGAAATCTATACCTTCATCTTGTTCTCTAGTGTTAAATATGATCATGAGATGTACAGATTCCTTTCAGGATCTTGAAGATTTGCATGAAGAAAAGCAGAGAGCGTTGGATGCAGTGCAAGCTAATTATGAAGCAGCGCTGATCGAAGCAAAGCATCTTACGGAGCTTCTGGACGTAGAACAAGCGGATATAGCAAGCACAAAGTTGCAGTTACAAGGTAATACTAACCCTGAGGTTTTGAACTTCGAAATAAATTTTCACTCTTACTCAAGTATAACTCCCCTAAATGATTTCATACCAATCAGATGAAAAGACACACAGTCAATCATATCAGAAGGAGCTCCATTCATTGAAGGGGGATAATGACAGGGTAAGTGAAACTCAAACTCTTTTAAGGAAATATTTCTTCCACAATACTTTTCCAGCACGAGCAGGAATTGAAGTCACTTTATCAGAAAGCAAAAGAAAATATTTTATGTTTCTAGTTCAACTATTGAAGTCTTTTAGGACCTTAAAATTTGACCCAAACGGACAAAAACTTTTCATTCTTCAATTGATAATTGTTATTTTCTCGAACTGTTTAGTCGAAACTTTATAGGCGTCACTACAACTTGTCCTCTTGTGTTTATATTTGGTCATTAACTGGGGTTGATCATACTGGCAATGTAGGAATTTTAACATGGTACATGTTATGCTGGTCCCTAGATATATAGTTGCTGTGTCTTAATTCCTTTCTCAGATTTTGTTAATATGTTTGGAAGCCTCTTTTGAATGTCGGATAGAGGCGAGGGGTTTTCATAAATACTTGTTGTAATTCTAAGATGTGATCATATTAGAAAGTCTTCGAATTGTTGATTCAGAAGCTGAATAACTTAACTATGATTATTTTGAATTATTTTGACTTTGCCACTGACTTCCTCATCTAGGCCACTGACTTCCTCATCTAAGTATAAATGTACTTGGGTAGTGCAGCAGTAGGATTCTAATGCAGATTAGGAAATTTAATTTATACTCTTATTTTTAATTTTTTTGTTTACTAATTATTTTTTATGGGTCAAATTTTAGGAATTTTATTTTGGGGATTAGGGTTATGTTTTAAGAAGGATAAGGCGGGTTTTAGAAGGATCCGCTTTTTCTCTTTGGATGAGTTGTTTGTAAGAAGCATAAGATGAGGACGTGAGATAGGGAGTAATCTAAGAGGAAGAAGGGAGAACTTTTAGGATGTTTAATAAGAAGTATTCTTTTTTTAAAAGAGTAAGCTTATCTCTATTTAGGGACATGGTGGAATTTGAAGCTTATCTTTTTATATAGGTAAGTGGGATATGGGTTTTAGTTAGAGCACCTTTTAAAAGAAGGGGCGTCTCATTGTAAGGTTGATTTTTGGTTTGGGATGAATGAAGTTCGACGCGAGAGGAAAACTCAATGTGGAGAGAGAGAGAGAGAGAGAGAGAGAGAGAGAGAGAGAGAGAGAGAGAGAGAGAGAGAGAGAGAGAGAGAGAGAGAGAGTA